CATTTTGGAAAATAGAGGCCGAAAATTTTATATATTATTAGAAGCTACAAGCAAATGCTTCATGGACCTGTGCCATGGCCAGCTCTGCCTATTGGTAATACAAAATGATATTAGTTTTTAGTGGTACATGTGAAAAGTAAACATTATATAAATAATTAAAAGTGGTAAGATATAGTGGTACAAAATACATATCCGAGAAACTAATTTTTTTAAATTTTTTTTATAATTGATTACCACTTCCTACCACAATAGTACCGAGTTACCAATTAAAACCATATTTTTTTTTTAATTTTAGGAGCAAGTCGTTACACCCCAATGCTTCTGTGCTTTTAGCGGTTATTTTCAAGGGAATTCATTTTTAATCGATTGAATATATGGTGAATCAATCTCAATCAAGAAAACTAATTGACTTTTTGGTATAGGGGTTAGGAACTTTGGAGACAGAGAAGTTGATTATGAGATTGAATTTTGACTTTTATGTGTATTTCCCTTAACTTTTAGCATCCAATCAAAGCAAATATTTATCCATGTTGTCATGTGATCGCTGCACTTATCTAACAATAGTATTATTCCCTTTTCGAGGTATATAGATATCTAAATGAATAAACATTTATCTAAAAAGCTTAATACCTTACCTAATTCAAGAAACATGTAGAGTAGAAACAAGTAAAAAAAGTTTAAAAGGAAAAGGATTAGATCAAAAGAAATAACTATATTGGGATAAATTCGCTGTCCAGTTTGAACTAATGCTAGTTTTTTAAACATTTTCTTGCATATGATTAGAGAGAGGTATCAGTTTTTAAAATTTTAAATTATCGCTAAATCCAAAAGTATAAATTCATCAACAACTTTATTCTTCTATGACACCCAAATAATGTTAACCGGTCCCGGTCTGAAACAATCACAGTCCGGTTTAGAGAAGCCGAGAGAGAATCGTACAACTTGCAAATAAGCTAAAGCCGTCAGCTAAAACAACGCCGTTTTGGAAAAGTCCTCGTCTTCTTCTTCTTCTCTCCTCTTTCTCAGAAATCTCTCTCTTTCGCACTTTCTGCAAATGGTTCTCTTCTTCCTTTAAGCTCAATCTCGCCACTGGAAGTCTCAATCGGGAAGTATATCCATCTTCTTCGGATCCGTAAATCGTGATTTTGAAAAGACAGAGAAGAATCAATCAATGGAGGAAGAGAAAGCTTCTGCTGCACAGAGCTTAATCGATGTAGTTAACGAGATTGCGACGATTTCTGATTATCGTATTACGGTGAAGAAGCTTTGTTATAATCTAGCGAGGAGATTGAAGCTGCTTGTTCCTATGTTTGAGGAAATTAAAGAGAGTAACGAACCGATCAGCGAAGATACGTTGAGTACTTTGGTGAATTTGAAGGAAGCTATGTGTTCAGCGAAGGATTATCTCAAATTTTGTAGCGAAGGGAGCAAGATTTATCTGGTGCGTTTCTCTTTCGATTTATTGGTATCTTGATTAGATCTGTGTGGTCACTGAGAATTTTTGTTGATTAATGGAAAGTTTGACGAATTGGTGGTTTCATTGAATGAGAGAGCCACGTGCTTTGTTTGGCTATGGTAGTGTTTTGAGTGATATCAATGCTTCTTGAATTTTGATTAGATGTTAGATTTGGAGTTTTTGGTAGTGGTTGATGTGATTTGATTGATCTATTGGTAGTTGTTGAGAGTTTGTGCTCTGATACAGAAGATTGACATGAGTGATGTTCTTGTTCTGTTTGTGTAGGTGATGGAGAGGGAACAAGTGACAAGTAAATTGATGGAGGTGTCTGTTAAGTTAGAACAATCTTTGAGCCAGATTCCGTATGAGGATCTCGATATATCGGATGAAGTTAGAGAACAGGTAAATTCTTGAACCCGAGGCGGGGGAGGCTAGTGCGGATTAGTAAAGACGATTTGTAGTTCTTAATTGACGTAGAACTTGAATATTAGTTGATCATGAGTCCAGTTTATTCACATGGGACATAACATTAGTTGAGACACTGAAGTTGGTTCAAGATTCAAGATATGTCTCGCTTGTCTAAGATAAATGACTACATCTTTCAAATCATTAAGATATGGAAATCTTACGACCTGTTTGGATGTGTATTGAACCCAATTGTAATGAGCAAAGGATATGGGTCAGGGGGTTAAAAAAATTCGGATATATGCATAATTCGTAGCGTTTTGTTGTTGCAGGTTGAGCTGGTTCTCAGCCAGTTTCGGCGGGCTAAAGGAAGAGTAGATGTCTCAGACGATGAACTATATGAAGATCTTCAGTCGCTGTGCAACAAAAGTAGTGATGTAGATGCTTGTCAGCCTGCCCTGGAGCGGGTTGCGAAGAAGTTACAGTTGATGGAGATTCCTGACCTAGCTCAAGAATCAGTGGCTCTGCATGAAATGGTTGCTTCAAGCGGTGGAGATGCTGGTGAAAACATTGAGGAGATGGCAATGGTACTGAAGATGATTAAGGATTTTGTGCAGACGGAGGATGACAACGGTGAGGAGCAGAAAGTAGGGGTTAACTCGAGAAGCAATGGACAAACTTCTACGGCAGCGAGTCAGAAGATACCCGTAATTCCTGATGATTTCCGCTGTCCGATATCGCTGGAAATGATGAGAGATCCAGTTATTGTTTCATCAGGGCAGGTAAAGTTCGCTTCAACCTCAGCTTCGTCAAATTTATTTCTGCGATCTTAAGATTTAATTATAGAAGCATGCTCTCCTCTATGTATAGACCTACGAACGCACCTGCATTGAGAAGTGGATAGAAGGTGGACACTCAACATGTCCAAAAACACAGCAGGCGCTAACAAGCACAACCCTCACACCAAACTATGTTCTCCGTAGTCTCATAGCTCAGTGGTGCGAGGCCAACGATATTGAGCCTCCAAAGCCTCCAAGCAGTTTAAGACCCAGAAAAGTATCGTCCTTCTCGTCTCCAGCAGAAGCAAACAAGATTGAAGATCTTATGTGGAGACTCGCCTACGGAAACCCCGAGGACCAACGATCTGCAGCTGGGGAAATCCGCCTTCTTGCAAAACGAAATGCAGACAACCGCGTGGCTATAGCTGAAGCTGGAGCCATACCTCTTCTCGTAGGCCTTCTCTCAACTCCTGATTCTCGTATCCAAGAACATTCAGTAACAGCTCTTCTAAACCTCTCCATATGTGAGAACAACAAAGGAGCCATTGTTTCAGCTGGAGCTATTCCTGGTATAGTTCAAGTGCTCAAGAAAGGAAGCATGGAGGCCAGAGAGAATGCGGCGGCCACACTGTTCAGTCTATCAGTGATTGATGAAAACAAAGTGACTATCGGTGCCTTGGGAGCAATTCCGCCGCTCGTTGTATTACTTAATGAAGGTACACAAAGAGGCAAGAAAGATGCTGCTACTGCACTCTTTAACCTCTGTATATACCAAGGAAACAAAGGAAAAGCCATACGTGCAGGAGTGATTCCCACGTTGACTAGACTCTTGACAGAGCCCGGAAGCGGAATGGTCGATGAGGCACTCGCGATTTTGGCGATTCTCTCTAGCCACCCCGAAGGGAAAGCAATCATAGGATCCTCTGATGCAGTCCCAAGTCTGGTTGAGTTTATCAGAACTGGCTCGCCTAGAAACAGAGAAAACGCAGCTGCGGTTCTAGTCCACCTCTGTTCAGGAGACCCACAACATCTTGTCGAAGCGCAGAAACTCGGCCTTATGGGTCCATTGATAGATTTGGCTGGAAATGGGACGGATAGAGGGAAACGAAAAGCAGCTCAGTTGCTTGAACGCATCAGCCGTCTCGCCGAACAGCAGGAGGAAACGGCTCAGTCACAACCCGAAGAAGAAGCTGAACCAACACATTCAGTATCCACTACAGAAGCTGCAGATACTTAAAGATTGTCTTTGTTTTGGGTCCTCTGGTCATCTCTTTCATGTACGTATGTGTATTATTCTCACTTCTTTTTTTTCGCTACTCGGTCCTCCCTCGAGGTAGGCTTCACGGTAGACGGGGAAGAGGAAAATGGCCTCCTTCTCCGATCTACTTTTTAACTTTATGGTGATATCTTTGTGTGGACGGAGCAATCTGGTCCACAGGAGAGAAAAGCAAATATGCATACATACACGTCAACTTGTATCATTGTAACACTATGTTTGTAATCATTTCCACGAGCTTTTTTGTTTTCAATACAAGATCTCTCTGTTTGCTTTCTTAATAACACTAGCATTAAGGAGATATTGCTTGAATATAATGCAGATTCCGATTTTTCAAGAACAGATGCGTTAACATTATACATTTCCAGTGTTATATTATATATGTCGAACTCCTTTACTAGCTGTATTATGCAAATAGATTCAAAAAGGGGTTGTTTAATTAGGGTTTAAGATTTTAGCAAAGTGGCGGATAAGTTTGCTTATAAGCTTACAATGGAAACAATAGTTTCTGAAATCAGCATACATATGCCTCCTCTTCAGAAGAAGACTTGCCGTATCTGTTTCGACGAAGCTGAGCATATGTTTACTATTGCTTTATGCGGTCATGAATTCTGTACGGAGTGCGTGGAACGACATATAGAAGTGAGGCTAGTCGAGGGAAGTGTACCAAGATGTCCACATTATCGTTGCGGGTCTTAGCTAACTTTTACAAGCTGTGCCAATCTTTTGATGCCTAAACTAAGAGAGATGTGGGAAAGAAGGATCAAAGAGGAATCGGTTCCTATGGCCGACAGAGTTTATTGCCCAAATCCAAGGTGCTCGGCTTCAATGTCGAAAACCGGAGATGGAACTATGAGATGCTGTTTTGAATGCAGTGAGCCTGCAAAGTTGCGTGGCATAGTAACTTGTCTTGCGACGATTACAAGAGATTGGGTCCAAATCCTAGAGAAGATGTTATAAAGCTCAAAGCTTTAGCAAATCAGAATATGTGGCGTCAATGTGGAAATTGCAACCAAATGATTGAATTTTCTCAAAATGCAGGTTGATTTGGTTGACATCGATATGTGACTAAAAAATGCGAGTCGATTTAATAGATGCTTCTAATTAATCCAATAGGTTCCCATTAAAAAGGTATAGAGAGCTTGATGAGCAACCTCATAACAAGACGCTTAACAACGAGCCCAACTAGAACACCAAAGCATTCATATATAGTGGGAAGGGATTGGACCTTTCTAAAAAATTCCAAAAAAGACTTTCACTTAGGTCTGTTTTTTGTCGATGCTCAAATCCACTTGTGAATCCTGGTAACGTTGGGTGAGGTACGTTGAACATTTGATAGCTGGATATCTAAACACACATCATTAATTAACGTCGTTGAGACATTGTTACATGTCATATTACAATGTAACTTGGTAAAGAAGTTAAGGCCTTACTTGGGAGGGTTGTTTTCTGACTGGCAGGTAGGAAGACATTCTACTATACAGTCGTGACTCGGTTGCAGAAAAAATGCAATCTGCGGTGAGAACACATCAAATACATTTCCAGTGTTAGATTATATATGTCGAACTCATGTGTAAATTAAACATGTTTAACAAAACCGTAGATTGTTGTTGATAAATTATAATGACGACATTTAACATATGGTTAAAAGCTTTTCCACAATAACCGCACCGAAAAGTGATCATGTCGAAAAATTTGTAAAGATAGATGCGGATGGGTTTTGCCAAGGGACTTACGGAATATCGGTCTTGACCATTCCCAAGTACCCGATGCAATGCGGATCTATGTGTAAAAAAAAGCATGTGAGATAAATGTTAGCAAGAAAACTTTACTTGCAAAAATCAATCACAATGCAGAGGACTAAATGAGACACTAGGGAGAGTTAGCTCAAACAACAAGTATTTAGTATTTACTTAAAAATGCCGTTGCTCCAACGCTCCAGCAAGTCACCAATATTCACAATATATGCGCTGTAGATGAAAACGGAGTTAGTGTAGTGTTTAAAACGGAGCATGGACCCAAGTTGGGTCACCCATTAACCCAAAAAAATCTCATTATACCCTTTAATCGATGGTATATATTCCCACTTCCGAGGCTTCACGTCTCTATCCTTGCATATCTGCCACCAGACAATTTCTATAACCAAACCTGGTCACATCATGACTATAGTGAAAATCGTGTTATACCTGGAGCCCCATTACACTATCGGTTGCTAAGAGAGTCATCATTCCGAAATCAGAATGTGGGCCGCATCCATATATTCCTTTTGAGGGATCAGACATCCCTAAAAGGTAACAGAAAAGAAGAAAGACAATTACTTGTGATGAGTAATAACACTGACATTAAGTTTAAGATTACATTGATAAAAAAGACATCACCTTCATAGTGAAGCAAGCGCATAAATGCGAGGGGATTTCCCAGCATTTCTGGTTTATCAAAGTAATCTCCATCCACATCGAGCGCCAATGCCAGTACTCTAGCAATAGCCTTACAAACCCTCCTGCCAATGCAGAAAGGCTCATCATCATAACTCATAAGTATACGGTTATAAAAACTTTATCTATTAGGAGTCTCTTTACATAAAAAAAAATGTAAGACCTTATATAGTAAAAAATAAAAAGAAAAATCGGTTAATCCATTTATTACCAATTGATTTTTAAAAAATATTCATAAATTTATTATGGCTGTGTTGGAGTCAAACTTAATCTGGCCTGAAAAGTTATTTGTTATTTGCGTAAGCAAAGCACACATGAGACGCGTATATACTCATTGTGGTAAATAGGTTTAGTATAGTACCCATATATACGAAACAGCCAGAGAAGACGAAAAAAGACTTACAATGCTTCTTGATGGTATTTCTCCATGGTCGCCTGCCATCCCGGCAAAACATCTGCTAGAAACATCAAATTTTAGTCAAAGAAAAATCATTAAATCTACAAAAAGTGTTTACTAACCAGGGTTAGGCCAAATGTTAGCGCGACAGAATGGTGTATCGTTGGAGCTTTCGATTCCAATGAAAAAACTTTCTTTGTAATCCCCTAGAATCCATGAGAGGTTAGAACAAGATTGGGAACAATTAACAACAAATTTTTGATCAAGCAAGTGAAAGCTGGTCACACGAACCATGGATTTGGTTATCAGAGATTTGACTAAGGACGGGTGAATAGCCTTGATGCTTTTCGTTTTTCAAGACTTTCATTTTCTCGTCCAAAGGAAGAGCAAAGAACTTCTTGCTTTGCTCGAAAGCCTCGTCCTTTAACTCCTCACTAATACCATGATTTGTGACATAGAAAAATCCACAATCTAGACATGCCTAGAACAAGAATAACCAACAACGAGTCACATAAGTAATAAAAGCCACGCCATAATCATTGATGTTGATAAAAATAAAGAAGAAGAGACAAGCCTGCTTAAGCGCATCAGCTGATTGATGAAGATTGGTGTTGGCGAGATCTATGCAAGTAAGAGATGAAACATTGATGGTCGAAGCTTCCTCTTGAGTTTTGTTTTCCATCTCTCTAATTTTCTATGTTGACTCTTTCAGGATAAGAAGGAGAATGGCCTTTTCCAAGATTCTACTGCCATAAATTTCATATATTATGTACGCTCCACATTTTAAAATTTCGATCGGAAAATTATTAAAGTCTATAATCGACAAAATAACCACATCTTCCGGAAAAAATATCAAATTATTAGTTTGTTCTTTTTATTATATTTAAGTTTGTTTTATTCAAGAACTACAGGACACCTATTGAATGATCATCAATTATAATATGCTGTGATTCTATATCTTAAATGGGTTTTTAATTGCTTTATGTGTGAACAAGTGTTGAGTCATTTTCTATTAGCCCCTTGAGTCGATCGAGTCTTTTTCTAATACACTCTGACTGATGCCTTGCATCTAACTTTTTAGATTTATTGGTAAGTACAATAATTTAAATATTTTTCGCAAAATGCTTATTGATTTGGTTGACTTTCATTTCTATAGCTTTATGTCACTAGGAGGAACCAAAAGCATCTCAAGGCGTAGCCAATTTCACTATAGCAATGACCAAGGTGTTGGAACGAATTTGGCCACAGCTTCTATATGTGGCTACTGTCTACACTCTTAATTTGTCTTGTCCATCAATTTTTTTATGTCAGTAGTAGTCACGACATATGGAAGGTCCTTTTCTGATAGGACATATGTAACGGTCCTTGGCTTATGCTTACGTAAAAACAAATCAAATTATGCTTGTGATTATAAAATTTTGACATAATTCACATAACGATTCCAAGACATCTCAAACAGATTTTTTCCCTAATTTTATATAAAAATACCAAATAACCGTCGTGAATAAAGGATGTAACGCCTTCGACGATTTGTAAACTGGAATAACCCAAAATTCCGATTAGAGAAATTCAAACTCTTCTTTGTAATCACTTAAATGGTGATCTTTATTAGTTGAATAGGTCTCCATCAAATAGATATAAATCGTGGTGAGAAATCCAAATACAATAGAAATTTTAACAACAAACCAATTGGAAAACGAAGGCATTCATAACATGGGACTTTAGGGCGTGGTACACATGGACCATACTTCACCTAGGTCTGTTTTAGGTGTGCATGTGCTGCTTTGTAACGTGGGGAGATGTACGTTGAACATTTGATCGCTGGATATATATAATATATCTATTCATTAAACACAACTATAAACATCTATAAGGCAATGTTATTAGTTGAAGGTCTTAATGCAACAAGGTAAAGATGTTAAAGGCTTACTTGGGAAGGTTGTTTTCGGACTGGCAGTTAGGAAGACACTCTATTATACAGTCATGACTCGGTTTCAGGAAGAATGGAATCTGTGAGAAGAAAACATTTAATTAAATAGAAGTGTTACGTAATTTTTCTAATTCGCTTACGAACATGGTTGATAAAAACTAGATTTTTGAGAAAGGATATCAATGAGATTTGGCTTGTGGCTGAAGATTCTTCCATGCACTATTATATAGTAAGAAACTTACAGAATATCGGTCTTGCCCATTCCCAAGTACCCGATGTAATGTAGACCTGTAAGGTATAAAAACATGTGGAAAAAGATGTTACTACAAAAAAAACTGTACTTGAAAATCATGCTTCATGTTGTATTAAGCGACATATGTGTCACAATTGCCTTAGGAAAATTAAGCTCAAACAAACAAAAACTTTACTTGAAATAGCCATTATTCCAACGCTCCAGCAGATCACCAAGATTCACAATATAGGCTCTATAGACGGAAACAAACAATATAAATTTACCAAAACAGACCATTAATTATAACGTAATAAACAAAAATATGTTATGGGAGTTACTGTAGCATTTTAATTAAGGGGGGTGTATTGGAACTAGGATTTTAGAAAATTTTGGGTTTTTACTAAAATCACCTGTTATTGAATTTGTGATTTTCAAATCTCTTCTCAAATCCAATGTTATTGAAATTGAGATTTCAATAAAATCACTCACAATCTCTTGTTATTCAAACTATAATTTCTAAACTTGATATCAAATCAACTGTTATTGAAAACACAACTTTGTTTTTTTAAAAAAGCCATAACATTGATTTTGGGAGACTTTGGATACAATTTCACATGAGAAATTCAATTAAAGAAATCACACCTTGAGAGGTGTTATTTGGAAAAAACTTCTTTTAACAAAATAAACATAAGAGAAGTTGTCCTTTCACTTTCTCATTCTCATCGTCAAAAGTCAAAACAAATCTGTCACTTTTTTTTGTTCTTCACTTGCAGAAAAAAACAAAAGATTTCAATGGCAAATCAAATTCATTACCAACAAAATCTCTCTCAGTTTCAAGTTTTTAATTTGAAGTCCTAATACAAACACATAAACTTTTTTAGAACCACAACACACCATGATTTCTTTATCTTTTACCACAAACAACGTTGAACGTGTTTTGGAACGTGTTGCAGAGAGAATCCAATTTTTCTATTTTTTGTAAAGCAACGTTGCAAAGAGATCCCAAATTTTCTAGACAATGTTGGAGATAAGTTTTTTTTGTAAATCCAGTTTTCCTATTTTTGTTTTAAAAATCTCACCAAATCATCCAATATTATCTCTTAAATCTCACCAAATAACAAACTAGTATTTCCTTTTCTAAAATGAAAATTCTAACAATTCCACCAAAAGTATCCTAAAAAATCACATAACTTTCTCAAAATCCAAAATTTCCTAAATTCCACCAAATCCACCCAAATCTTTAATTCAATACACCCCCCTAAATGAATCAACAACCCAAAAACCCCAAACATCTCATTGTTATACCCTTTAAGTGATGGAATATATTCCCACTTTTGAGGCATCACGTCTTTATCCTTGCAAATCTGCAATTAGATATTAAGAAGTTTATAAGTAACTTGATCACATATGAAGTTATATGAGAGTAGTAAAAGTTGTGCAATACCTGAAGTCCCATTACACCATCAGTTGCTAAGAGAGACATCATTCCGAAATCAGAATGTGCTCCACATGCATATATTCCTTTCGAGGGATCAGACTTCCCTAAAATATAACAAAAAGGAAGAAAAATGAGGATAAGTATGACATTGACATACAAAGCTAATGCAATTAAGAAAATACCTTCATAGTGAAACAAGACCATATCTGCAATTGGATTTCCCAGCATCTCCGGTGTATTGAAATAATCCACATCCAAGTCGAGCGCCAAAGCCATTATTCTCGCAATAGACTTACAAACCCTCCTGATCATGTAGAAGGGCTCATCATAAGTATACAGTTTGAAAAACTTTCTTCCTTAAGAGTTCCACGGAAAATATATGTATGGCACCTAGTATAGTATAAGAAACAAAGAATTATATACTTATTTATTGTCAATTAATTTTAAGATGCATATCCATAAATTTTGACATGATGCTAGAGTTCAGAATTCTAAATATTTGCCTAAATTTTTTTTTTTGATTTTTATCATCTTTAAGCAAAGATAGTGAAATATCATTGTTTACTCAATAGTATTCGTGACCAAACCAAAGTAACTGAAGTCGCTTAGGGAATTCTATAAATGGAATATTTTTTGTTTAAATCAAACTTTCCAACTAAATTTTTATCCATCAATCATTGGGCATTAGCAAATTTTCCCACATGATTTCCCTATTTAAACATTTTCTAAGAAAAAGATGACACTTACAATGCTTCTTGATAATATTTCTCCATGGTCTCCCGCCATCCGGGCAAAACGTCTACCAAAAACATTAGAGTTTAATTAAAGAATAAAGCATAAATTAAAAACAGTGACACGGCAAAATCTAACCAGAGTTAGGCCAAATGTTGGGGCTATGGAATGGTTTATCCCCATGGGGACCATCTTTGCCACCTTCGAACCCAATGGTAAAACCCTCTTTGTAGTCCCCTAAACCCCATGACGTTACAATAAGAGTGAGATTCATGAACAACAATACTTTTAGCAAAAGCAAGCGAAAGCTGATCAGACGAACCTCGGAATTGGTTTTTAGGGTCTAAGAGAGAATCGTGAAATGGTGCATAGCCTCGATACTTTTCATTTCTCAAGACTTTCATTTTCTCCTCCAAAGGAAGAGCAAAAAACTTCTTGCTCTGTTCAAAAGCCTCGTCCTTCAGTTCCTCGCTTATACCATGATTAATGACATAGAAAAATCCACTATCGAGACATGCCTGGAACAAGAATATAACAAATAATGACGGAACCAATAATGTTTTTCGCAGAAGTTATAATGTTCATACCATAATCAATTTTAAGAAAAATAAATGGAAATAGACCTGCTTGAGTAAAACAGCTGATTGATGAAGATTGGAGTTGTCGAGATCTATGCAAGTAAGGGCAGAAACTTTGATGATTGATACCTTATCTTCCTCAGTTTTATTCTCCATTTCTCTATCACTCGCTAGTCTTTCTTTGGATAGGAAATATACAAGTTTTGTCCTTGTTTAGCTTATCTTATAGCCAGCGATGCCACTGCCATATATGTATTAACCACAGCCGCTTGGCTCCACGTTTTAAATGTTCAATTGGAAAATATCAAATTTATAATCTTTTTTTTAATTCGAAAAGTAAAGAGAAAGGATCAATAATGTAAATACTTGATTTTCAAAAACAGGTCATGTTGTCAGGTTCGTTGGCCATCTTTACGATCACATATGAACCTGACGAATCTTATCTCCCAAATCTCATTTGCACTCCAAATTTTGATAGATTTATAGAATTTGGTAAAATATTGCATTTAATAAGTTTTTATACCTTACTGATCACTTCAGTCTTCAAGAATAGCGAAAATGCTAAAGACTTAAGTAAGTATTACTAGCTCAAATATAGTTCAAACACATAGAAGCCCAAAAAATTCTTATAAATTAAGTAACCCACATTTACCATGACTGCTCATCCAATCTAGTTTATTACATATATATGAAAGTCGAATGTCTCTTTCGATAAGATATAAAGTTCGTTATGAGCATATGTTGCAAGAAGTAAATTTTTTATCTAGAGTTAATAGTTCGAAGCAAAAAATGCAAGGTTTTAATAAATAAAATCTGTCCTTTCCAGCATCATTAACTTCTGCGCAGCAACTTTTCGTCTCCCCAAAGGGGTGTTTGGAAGCACTTGAAAGGATGTGCAAGTGCAACGTCTTCCTGTGGGGTGGGGCACAATATTCAGCTCGTGGAGCCAAAGTTTCCTGGCACATTTTGTTTGTTCACCAAAATCAGCAGGCGGTTTCAGCCAAGTGTTTGGCCTGAAACTAGTTGATATGGCTCTTGTTTGCCGCGAAAGGATCGTTGTGGGTTGCTTGGCTAGAAAACAGGTTATTAAAGGAAAACTGTTTTCGGACCTCTTGACTTTCAAAGGTTTTGTTCGTCCCTATCTCTTCAGTCAAGTTCGATCAAGATGTTTAGCTTTTTTTGGCATGGTGATGAGACCAACGTGGAACCTTTAATTGATATAACAAGACCAAACGGACAAATGGTCTCTGGACCTTTTAATTGATATAACAGGACCAAACGGGCGAATTTAAGAGAATATTTTCTACCGAATATTCAATCTATACTAGTATTTTTGAAATACATTTGAGAGATCCGTTGTATCGATAAGCATGTTCGCAACCAACTACCGGTTATTTGATCAATAGGCGACATGCGCTATGACCAAGCTCTACAAACATGGTTTGCCTCTCAAGCTTTAGAAGTTCGAAAACAAAACAAAAAATCTCAGCCATTTTTAAATGCTATGTTTTCTCTAAAACTCTGTCTCTCAATTTTATGCTCTGCTATTTCTTTTTCAAACTATCAAAAGGGTGCTGATGTAAAAAGTATATGTTTTTTCTTGAATATAATTTAACATTTTATTCAAAAAAAAACATGTTGAAATTATGTTAAAAGAATTAAAATCAGGTAAGTTTAAGAGAGTTTCTCAGTTAGTATTTTAGTAAATTTGTAATTTTTGATACAATTAGAAAACATCAGGTAAATATGAATTCTACTAATTAGAAAACATACTCTAGAATATAATTGGTTTGTAAAGAAAATTGGAAACATTACCTAAAATAAAAGAAAAAAGTTCTTTAAAAAACATCACTTAGAGTGATAAAAAGAGAGTATATCAAGAGAAAGTAACAATAGAATATGAAAAATAAATTAGAGTAAATGCATTCGGAAATGTAATATTAATAGAATAAACATATAGATTCATTAAAAATAACAAAATATAAATGAATTTCAACATAAAAGATGACTATTAGTGAAAGTTTATGTGTTTGGATAAATTGTTTGGATGGATGATAAAAAAAAATTGATTAGTTTTTTTTTGGTATGAAAAAGAATTGATTAGTTAGAATGTTAATGAATTCATTTAGGTAAGTTTTTTTTTTCGAAATATAAATATATATCTAAACATGTTCATTTATATAAATATGTTGAAAAGAATTAAAATAGTTAAATCAAACGAATTTAAATCAGGTAAATTTAAGAGTGTTTCTCAATTAGTATTTTAATAATATTTTGATTACAATTATTTTGGAAATTTATAGAGTCATATACAAAAATTTCATATTGTTATTTGTTAGTATCTAATCAAAACGGCACGGTGTGCTATGGTATAATAAATAAACGTCACGGTGTGCTATGCTATAGTGCATAAACGGCACACGCAAACCAGATGCGTTTATAGAGCACAGTAGTGAAAAGTTTGCACCCAAAAAAAAAAAAAAAAAAAGAGATAGACGAGCGGATGCCCTAGCTCTCCGTCGGCGTCTCCTTGTTCCTTTCGGTAAGCTCTCTCAGATCGATCTTTTAGATCTCTGTTCCACTAACTCCGTTGATTTTGTTTAGATTCTGTAGTAGATTCGTCTCTAGGTCGCTCCTTAATTCTGTTCCACATGCTCCTCTTTTGTAGATTGTGGACTTGCCGTGCGTCTCCTCTTTTGGCTTATCACACCTCTTACTCGCATCAGGTAAGTAGTTTGGTTCAGATTTAGTGACTCTCACCGCTTTAGTTTCAAAGCTTATTAGCTCTCTGGGTCTCTGTTTTGATTGATTTCTAGCCTCCGAAGAGCCTTGGAATGCTTTACCCTATTAGCAACTACTGCAATTTATCTGAAAGTGTATCTTATTTTTCATCTTTGTATCAACATCATAGTTACTCTCTTGCATATTCCTATTCTGTTGTTGTTAGCAACTGCAATTTTGCTGAAAGTGCATCTTATTTTTCGTTCTGCATTAACATCATAATTATAGTTAGTCTCTGTGCTTTGTTTGGATTGATTTCTAGCCTTTCCATTGGTTACGATGGACCCTAGTAGCAACTACTGCAAATTAGCTGAAAGTCTATCTTATTATTCGTCTTTCTATTAACATCATAGTTATAGTTAGTCTCTTTTCTTTGTTTGACTTGATTTCTAGCCTCCAACTTGCAGCTTCACTTCTCTCTTCTCCATGGCTCCAAAGAAAAGGAAAGCTTCTGCTATCGAATCAGAGGAGGGATCTGAGGTATTTTAATATACTCTTCTAAGCTTATGTTTAAACAGTGCTGTATTGATTTTCTTTAAAATTCTCTTGTAGGAAATTGCTTGGATAGAGAAACAAAAATTGCCCAGCGGATCATCTCCTGTTTTGTGGGATTCCAAGTATGCATCAAGTTCTGATGAAGAATTTGAAGGATTCTTCGACAGTAGTAATCTCTTCCTCTCTGATGTGCATAAGTCAACCTCTAATGCAGATGTGTAAGTTGATTTTTCTCTTTCTATATCGTTCTTTTGGTTTTATTTTTTAAAGGGTCCCTTTTTTTTTTACTATTAGCATTGCAACAGCTTGGGGTTCTTTCAAGATTTCAAGTGCGACGTGGTTTCAAGGGATGTCCAGAAAGACAAGAAATTGTCTTTTGTAGTTCGTTTTTCATCTCATGAATTAGCAATGGCAGCTTTAGAAAAATATAAAGATGTTAAATTGGAGGGACGGACTATTAGTCTTACCCGGTCTACAGACTCGAGGTATTGTTTTGCATTCTTTGGTTAATTGTTATTTAGTATCCACTTATGCCAATTATTTTTTTTTGGTTGGTAGGTACAAAACTTTTCGCATCAAAGGTTTCAAGAACACACTAGCTCCAGCTATCAAACTTCAACAAGTGAAAGACATATATGGTAGATTTGGAAGTTAGTGAAGTGTTTAAAATGGAGCATGGACCCAACAATCAAAATAATCTCATTATACCCTTTAATCGATGGTATATATTCCCACTTCCTAGGCTTCACGTCTCTATCCTTGCATATCTGCCATCAGACAATTTCTATAACCAAACCTGGTCACATCTAAAATTATATGACTATAGTGAAAATCGTGTAATACCTGGAGCCCCATTACACTATCGGTTGCTAAGAGAGTCATCATTCCGAAATCAGAATGTGGCCCGCATCCATATATTCCTTTCGAGGGATCAGACATCCCTAAGAGGTAACATAAGAAAGAAAATTAAATGGGATGAGTATAGCATTGACATTAAGATTAATGTGATAAAGAAAATACATCACCTTCATAGTGAAGCAAGCGCATAAATGCGAGGGGATTTCCCAGCATTTCTGGTTTATCAAAGTAATCTCCATCCACATCGAGCGCCAATGCCAGTACTCTAGCAATAGCCTTACAAACCCTCCTGCCAATGCAGAAAGGCTCATCATCATAACTCATAAGTATACGGTTATAAAAACTTTATCTATTAGGAGTCTCTTTACATAAAAAAATGTAAGACCTTATATAGTAAAAAATAAAAATAAAAATCGGTTAATCCATTTATTACCAATTGATTTTTAAAAAATATTCATAAATTTATTATGGCTGTGTTGGAGTCAAACTTAATCTGGCTTGAAAAGTTATTTGATATTTGCGTAAGCAAAGCACACATGAGACGCGTATATACTCATTGTGGTAAATAGGTTTAGTATAGTACCCATATATACGAAACAGCCAGAGAAGACGAAAAAAGACTTACAATGCTTCTTGATGGTATTTCTCCATGGTCGCCTGCCATCCCGGCAAAACATCTGCTAGAAACATCAAATTTTATTCAAAGAAAAATCATTAAATTTACAAAAAGTGTTTACTAACCAGGGTTAGGCCAAATGTTAGCGCGACAGAATGGTGTATCGTTGGAGCCTTCGATTCCAATGAAAAAACTTTCTTTGTAATCCCCTAAAATCCATGAGAGGTTAGAACAAGATTGGGAACAATTAACAACAAATTTTTGATCAAGCAAGTGAAAGCTGGTCACAAGAACCATGGATTTGGTTATCTAAGGACGGGTGAATAGCCTTGATGCTTTTCGTTTTTCAAGACTTTCATTTTCTCGTCCAAAGGAAGAGCAAAGAACTTCTTGCTTTGCTCGAAAGCCTCGTCCTTTAACTCCTCACTAATACCATGATTTGTGACATAGAAAAATCCACAATCTAGACATGCCTAGAACAAGAATAACCAACAACGAGTCACATAAGTAATAAAAGCCACGCCATAATCATTGATGTTGATAAAAATAAAGAAGAAGAGACAAGCCTGCTTAAGCGCATCAGCTGATTGATGAAGATTGGTGTTGGCGAGATCTATGCAAGTAAGAGATGAAACATTGATGGTCGAAGCTTCCTCTTGAGTTTTGTTTTCCATCTCTCTAATTTTCTATGTTGACTCTTTCAGGATAAGAAGGAGAATGGCCTTTTCCAAGATTCTACTGCCATAAATTTCATATATTATGTACGCTCCACATTTTAAAATTTCGATCGGAAAATTATTAAAGTCTATAATCGACAAAATAACCACATCTTCCGGAAAAAATATCAAATTATTAGTTTGTTCTTTTTATTATATTTAAGTTTGTTTTATTCAAGAACTACAGGACACCTATTGAATGATCATCAATTATAATATGCTGTGATTCTATATCTTAAATGGGTTTTTAATTGCTTTATGTGTGAACAAGTGTTGAGTCATTTTCTATTAGCCCCTTGAGTCGATCGAGTCTTTTTCTAATACACTCTGACTGATGCCTTGCATCTAACTTTTTAGATTTATTGGTAAGTACAATAATTTAAATATTTTTCGCAAAATGCTTATTGATTTGGTTGACTTTCATTTCTATAGCTTTATGTCACTAGGAGGAACCAAAAGCATCTCAAGGCGTAGCCAATTTCACTATAGCAATGACCAAGGTGTTGGAACGAATTTGGCCACAGCTTCTATATGTGGCTACTGGCTACATTCTTAATTTGTCTTGTCCATCAATTTTTTTATGTCAGTAGTAATCACGACATATGGAAAGTCCTTTTCTGATAGGACATATGTAAGGGTCCTTGGCTTATGCTTACGTAAAAACAAATCAAATTATTGCTTGTGATTATAAAATTTTGACATAATTCACATAACGATTCCAAGACATCTCAAACAGATTTTTTCCCTAATTTTATATAAAAATACCAAATAACCGTCGTAGATAAAGGATGTAACGCCTTCGACGATTTGTAAACTGGAATAACCCAAATTCCGATTCGAGAAATTCAAACTCATCTTTGTAATCACTTAAATGGTGATCTTTATTAGTTGAATAGGTCTCCATCAAATAGATATAAATCGTGGTGAGAAATCCAAATACAATAGAAATTTTAACAACAAACCAATTGGAAAACGAAGGCATTCATAACATGGGACTTTAGGGCGTGGTACACATGGACCATACTTCACCTAGGTCTGTTTTAGGTGTGCATGTGCTGCTTTGTAACGTGGGGAGATGTACGTTGAACATTTGATCGCTGGATATATATCTATTCATTAAACACAACTATAAACATCTATAAGGCAATGTTATTAGTTGAAGGTCTTAATGCAACAAGGTAAAGATGTTAAAGGCTTACTTGGGAAGGTTGTTTTCGGACTGGCAGTTAGGAAGACACTCTATTATACAGTCATGACTCGGTTTCAGGAAGAATGGAATCTGTGAGAAGAAAACATTTAATTAAATAGAAGTGTTACGTAATTTTTCTAATTCGCTTACGAACATGGTTGATAAAAACTAGATTTTTGAGAAAGGATATCAATGAGATTTGGCTTGTGGCTGAAGATTCTTCCATGCACTATTATATAGTAAGAAACTTACAGAATATCGGTCTTGCCCATTCCCAAGTACCCGATGTAATGTAGACCTGTAAGGTATAAAAACATGTGGAAAAAGATGTTACTACAAAAAAAACTGTACTTGAAAATCATGCTTCATGTTGTATTAAGCGACATATGTGTCACAATTGCCTTAGGAAAATTAAGCTCAAACAAACAAAAACTTTATTCGAAATAGCCATTACTCCAACGCTCCAGCAGATCACCAAGATTCACAATATAGGCTCTATAGACGGAAACAAACAATATAAATTTACCAAAACAGAACATTATAACGTAATAAACAAAAATATGTTATGGGAGTTACTGTAGCATTTTAATTAAATGTATTGTTGGTGCAGGAATTAGCACCTCCGACAATACCGGCTTAAACCGGACGAATTACGAATTAATATGAGAATTCAGTTAAACCGGAGAATCCTGGTCAAGCCTGTTGATGGGCTGGAGAGGGAGATCGCCAGGCGAGCTCGACTCGAAGACGGGAGATCGCCTGCAACCGACTTCTTCATCAATGATCATAAGAAGTTTTCCTCTTGGATAAAGGGGAATCACGAAAATAAAAGAAAAGGAAAGATTCAAGCTCCGAAGATTTAGAAGTTTAACTTATCTCTAAAACCGCCCAAAACTTGTATAAATAGGAGGGTTTGTCCTCTGTTGAGGGGATCGGCAACTTTATAAAAAAAACTCTAATTGTTCTTGAGCAAAAATCCTAATTTTGTCTCTAAGCAATAAAATCTTTTTTTCTTTTGAGTCTTTGATCAGAATTTGCAAGAGAGTTAATTGAATTTGTTTTCTCCTTTAAACAAATTCATCGTGTGATTTTCAGAATCAACATGTATCAACAACCCAAAAACCCCAAATATCTCATTGTTATACCCTTTAATTGATGGAATATATTCCCACTTTTGAGGCATCACGTCTTTATCCTTGCAAATCTGCAATTAGATATTAAGAAGTTTATAAGTAACTTGATCACATATGAAGTTATATGAGAGTAGTAAAAGTTGTGCAATACCTGAAGTCCCATTACACCATCAGTTGCTAAGAGAGACATCATTCCGAAATCAGAATGTGCTCCACATGCATATATTCCTATCGAGGGATCAGACTTCCCTAAAATATAACAAAAAGGAAGAAAAATGAGGATAAGTATGACATTGACATACAAAGCTAATGCAATTAAGAAAATACCTTCATAGTGAAACAAGACCATATCTGCAATTGGATTTCCCAGCATCTCCGGTGTATTGAAATAATCCACATCCAAGTCGAGCGCCAAAGCCATTATTCTCGCAATAGACTTACAAACCCTCCTGATCACGTACAAGGGCTCATCATAAGTATACAGTTTGAAAAACTTTCTTCCTTAAGAGTTCCACAGAAAATATATGTATGGCACCTAGTATAAGAAACAAAGAATTACATACTTATTTAATATTTTATTGTCAATTAATTTTAAGATGTATATCTATAAATTTTGACATGAGGCTAGAGTTCAGAATTCTAAGTATTTGCCTAAGTTTTTTTTTTTTTTTTTTTTGATTTTTATCATCTTTAAGTTTTAACTATAAATACGAGGACGAATCAAACTTTAATTTCCACCTAATTTCCAACTAAATTTTTATCCATCAATCATTTGGGCATTAGCATGGTATCAAATTTTTTATGATTATATATAGATGTAAATGATTGAAATTGTATGATTTCTTAAGAACATTTAAATTATATTGTTTATTTGTTTACGAAAATGATGTTTTAGGCTTCATTTGAAAAAATGATAGTAGTGATAAAAAAAATATTAAAGGATAAGAGATAAGAAATAAAAGTAACTTCGCTCTGATAAATAATGAAATCATGATATTATACCTGTTCATTGTGTTTAAAAATGGAATGTAGATGACAAAAGATGAAAAAATTACAAATATGTTTAGCATTTTTTTTTTTTTAACTATTTTAATATTCTCTAGCATTTTATTTCTTTTGCCTATAGAATGATGTGTATTTTTAATATATTATTCATCAATTATTTACACCTACTAGTGATTGTACCGCGGGACGATATTTTTAAAAAAGAAAATTTAAATTTTAGGTTTCATTTGCTTTGTTAATATTGTTTGTTTTGTTTATTGTTTAAAATTTTATAATTGTATTTTGATTGTTAATTCTAGAATTTCACTCGTGGTATACCGTCCCGTATTAATATCGATCCAAACCCGTCTCACCTTATTATCCCGTCCCGTGAAACTAAACATCATTTTGTTATTTTTTTTTCACAATACTTTTATTTAAAAAACATACAATTTGAGTCAATTTGAAAGTTTTTTTAAAAATAGTTCTATATATATATAATATATATATATTATATATAAGTATAAAAATTCAAATATTATCAATATTATCAACTTTTTTAAATTTTTGTATATCAAAACTATATTATCGTATTTATGTAAATTCTAACCCGCTCTATCACATGATCTATAATCATTAAAAAAATTTAGCAAGTTAAAAATATTTATAATCAAAAAGTTATAAAAGCCATTATTCACAAAAAAAAACAAAAAAAAAGCGTAAAATTTTGATTATTCTAAAGTGACAAAGCGTATAGAGCTTCTTCATCTCACATCTTTTTCATCAAACACAATCTCTTATAATATACCACATGAATCCTAGGAAGTGTTATCAAATCCAAATTAATTAGGATCAAATTTTAAAAAGAAAATACAAACCAAATATTGAAAAGGGGTGAAATGGTACCTTGATCTAAAATTTACAATTAGGCTATATTACAATTTCTCTAATACTACTACTAATTAAAACACTAATTATTAAGACGATGATTGATTATTATATTCCTCCTCTTCCTCCTGTCAACCACTGTACCACAACGCTCACGTTATCGGAGCTCGGTCTTGCTAGAGCCAACTTTGTTAATAGCAATGAAGCATCAGAGCAAGCATTGTGTGCCGTTGCTGTAACGGAATCATCACCATCCGCTCTACCAGCACCTCGAGATCGTTGGTTCGATCGGTCACTGTTACCTTCGGATCTATCATATGGTTTCAAGTAAATATGACCTATATAAACAAAAACAAAAATCAACATATTTAATTCAAGACATGTTATTAAAATAGCTTTACAAATTCGAATCACAAAGAGAGATTCGCTCAATAAATTATCTAGACATGGAAAGAACTCCAAAAACCCTAGCTACATCCCAATAATAACCGTCCACCCGTTTGCACTCTCTACAATATATGACTTCTACAAATAAAAAATCTTGAATCGAATGCACGAGCCGGTTTTGAAAATCTTCGGTCTCTAAGGTAAGCTGTAAGACAAAATTGTCAACAATTTCAATGAGATGCTTTCCTGAATTTAAAAAAGTAATCTGATTTATTAACATAATTAGAGAAAACTAGTTAAAATGACTTACATAAAGATATGATTGCTAGATATTATTTAAAATGACTTACATAAAGATAGCTATCAGGCTATCGGGTTGCTAGAGAGATGACAGAAACGATCGAATGGGGCCCGAATTATAAGAATTTACAAGCACAAGCTTGGAAAGTCAAAGCCCCTCCAAAACTAAAACATTTCTTATGGCAAATTGCTACGGGATCTCTAGCAGTTACTTCAAAATTAGCACATCGAGGGATCCAATGTGACTTTCTCTGTAAAAGGTGTGAGATGGCAGAGGAAACAATAAATCATGCTTTATTTGAGTGCACTCATTCTCAGAAAATATGGGAATTATCAGATATACCTACGGCAATAGGTAGTTTTCCTCTAACCTCGGAATTCTCAAATCTAGATTATCTTTATTGGAGGTTACCATCTAATCTAGATGGGGGAGAGAAAACTTTCTGTTATGCTTGGATTTTATGGTTCATCTGGAAAGATAGGAATAAAAAGGTTTTCAAGGGATTACAATCTGAACCCAGAGATATTTTAAATCATGCTTTGAGTGAAAAATTAATGTGGGAAGAAGCTCAGTTGGATCCGATCGAAACTAGTTCTACTACGGAAACTTTGGAACGACCGGTTCAATCTATAAGATGTCGGATTGATGGTTCTTGGAAAAATTCAGATCCAACAATGGGTATAGGATGGTGGTGTTTTCAAGGAAATGATCAAACGATACTGCTCGGTGCAAAGTGCCTTCGGAGGTGTCCCTCCCCTCTTCACTCGGAGATGGAAGCTTTAATTTGGGCTATGAAGAATATCCTTTCAAGAGGGATCGATTGTCAGGTGTTTGAATCAGACTGCTCGGAGTTAGTCTCGATGATACACTCACCGGATGAATGGCCTGCTTTCTCCAATCTTCTAGACGAGTTTGGTTTTCTCCGTCTCTCTTTCCCTTTCTTCTCGCTTTCTCTTATTTCTCGTTTATGTAATGTTCAAGCGGACTGCTTAGCCCGTTCTTCTAGACTCTTATTTTCTGAAGTTACTTTTGTGAACTCTACTCCTCCTAATTGGGCAACCAATCAAGAAATTATTTATTAATTAATGTGTGGTTGACAAAAAAAAAAAAGAAAGATATGATTATATCTTTACCACTTGTTGATTCTTTGGGTTTTTGCAGTTTCCTCACTTTCCTGTGCTCTAGATAGTTTTGTATTTTGGTTTCTCAGCTTCTGCAAAATTGTTAAAATTACAAATTAGAAAACTTGTTGATGTTCGATATATGGAAGAAAAAACCTATAATAGTTCATCAATACTATAGTTTTAGAGACTTACATATTCAATCGAAAATTAGCTTTGTATATTGCTTCCATGGGTGGAAAATTAGACTTACATATGCATTGCTATTTTTTTTAGGTTAGATAAGAATACATCAATATTTAGTTTCTGTTTAGAAATATGCTCTCATAAATTCGAATATCTCAATTTACTCTTCAATTTAATGTATATATAAAAGATTTTAAATCAGCATTCCGTAATTTTGTTATTTGATAGGATTACATTCTATATTTTGTAGTTATGTTTAAATTGTATTTACTAAAATATCAAAAGATTGCAATCTTTCCAAATATATTCCTATTACTATGAAATTTATTTTTTTCGGAAATTTATTTTAGTATTAAAATCATATTAAAAATATAGAATATGGATGTTGTTATTTAATTTTAAATCATGATCGGAACAATTTTATTTCATGCGTTTAATTATCACATGCGTTGTAACTAAAAAATGAAAAATTTAAGTTGCATTTGTTTTGTTTAGTGTTTAAGATTCTACAATTGTATTTTGATTTGTTAATTCTAAGATTTTACCCGTGGTATATTGTCCAGTATTAATATCGACCTAAACCCATTACACCATATAATCACGTCCTGTGAAATTAAACATCATTTTGTTATTTTTAATAACACTTTTATTTAAAAGACATATAATTGGAGTCAATTTAAAAGTTTGCATTCAAATGGTTTCCATAATATAAATATTTTTAAATTAGTGTTTGTTTTTGGACCAACCCGTAAAAATAATTTATAATTGTATCATAGAATATTAAATAATTATATTTTGATTTGTTAATATTAAAATTTCACATGTGGTATACTATCCCATTTTAGATAATTGTAGAAATTAAAAAAAGATCTGAATGACTCAATTTCGGGTCGGAATAAAAAAACGACATGATTAAATGCACAATTTGTTATTCAAAAATATTAATATAGATTACACACATACTTTTTTCTTCATCGATTGAGTAATATATGTCCGTTTGTAAAAATTTGAATCATAAAATATGCAGAAAAAAAAACTAAAATTTATTAACTATAGATATTGTATAATAATTCAAAATAATATAAATATAAGATTAAATAGAAGTAAAATGAGAATCATATATTTATGTTTAAATTAGGTAGAGAGGTCTTAGGAAATTAGCTCAAATTTGTTATATTAGCATTAAATTATCATATTTGATTTCCTAATCTATAAAAATGGTAAAGAATATAGCATAAATAAAGAGTTTATATATAGTAATTAGTTGAGAAAATATATATAATTTAGATTTTATTAGGTATTTTTCGTTTTTAAATTTTTGCCATGTGGAAGCCCCCTTGGCCCATTGGTTGACCAATGGTTGATTAATGCTTCTACACCAAGAGGTCTGGGGTTCGAATCCCAGGTATTGCGATTTATTAACAAATTTGCAGATTAATGGAGGCAAGTGTGCAAGAGATCTCCAGCGATGTACAATTATAGCCGTTCGTCAGGATTCTACGCAAGGAAGGAAGTGTCGCCAGGTCGTGGATCATTGAAAGTATTCATCAAGATTACGAAGAAAGAAGTGTAGTCTGTCGTGAATCTAGTAAGGGTCGGAAGGAATTG